ACAAAGGTTAATCAAGGGCAAAGAAAAGAAGTTAAAGAAAGGAAAAGACAGAAACGAAAATATCAAAGAGAAGAGAATAGAGAGGATCGAGGTATATGTTATGAGAATACACTGTAACAATTGTTTATCATTTTCTTAGATTTTGATGGTATTCAATGGGGTAATAATTGTAATGAATTGAATGCATCATATGCAGCAGATGGTTACGCACGTATTCGTGGCATTGGAGTAAGTTATAAAAGATAATTTAAATGTTAATCATATTTATTTTTAATATTATTTTCTTAGGTTCTTGTAACAACATTTGGTGTTGGTGAGTTGTCAGCTATCAATGGTAAGATTTTTTTTTTTTGTTTTTTGATAAATTATATTTAAAAAATAAATAAATATTTTATCAGGTATTGCTGGCTCATTTGCTGAAATGGTTCCTGTCGTTCATATTGTTGGAATGCCACCAACAGCTTCTCAATCAAGTGGTGCCATTCTTCATCATACACTGGGCAATGGAGATTTTCGAGCTTTTGCAAATATGTTTAAAGAAGTAACTGTAAGTTTATTTAATTTATATTCAACTTAATATAGAATAAAATTATTATTATTATTTTTATTAAAGGTTGCTCAAACAATTTTAACAAAAAACAATGCTATCGAAGAAATCGATCGTGTTCTCATTCAATGGTACTATAGTAGTTTTTGGTAAATTTCACGTAAATAAATTTCGTATTTAGTTTGCTCAAAGGTCGACCAGTTTATATTGGTTTAGCGATAGATCTTAGTGATTTTGAAGTTAACATTGATCCATCACATCTAAAATCGCTCAAATTAAAAATTCCACATAATCCAAAAGATGTTCATGCAGCAGCCATTGAAACTGTTATTAATGTTGCTAAAAGAGCTGAAAATATAGTCGTTATTGTTGACGCGTAAGAAAATAATCTATTTTGAAATTTGAAAATTATGTTTTTTGTTTTTGTTTTGCTTTCCCATTTAGATGTGCTATTCGACATGATTTAATGAAAATAGTTTTAAAGTTTATTGAACATACTCAATTACCAATATATGTTACACCTATGGCTAAAGGTGGTATTGATGAAAATCATCCACAATTTCGTGGTGTTTTTGCTGGAAATTGTTCACTTGAACAAGTACAAAAAGAAGTTTATGCTGCTGATCTTGTTCTTTCAATTGGCTCCATGAATAGTGATTTTAATACTGGTGGTTTTACTTATCGTTTACTACAAAAGAAAACCATTGGTAAATAATATTGAATATTTCATGAAAAATAGACCTATCTATATTTTTCATGATATCTCTTTTAATTTTCTACAAAATAACCAATTTTTTTTTATTAAAAGTATTGTTCGATGATCAATGTTTCTTGTTCGAAAATAGCCATCGGTATCAAATTGAATATTTCAACAGGACGGTGCTTAACAAAGCTCGTATCCATCAATTAACACAATAATGATGTTAGGACATCTTTTCATGTATGATGAAGAAGAAACATTGATCATCAAACACTTCAAATTTAAATCATGAACCAAATTTTAGTCAAAAAAAAAATTCGACAGAAAACTTCTTTTAGGAAATTCTTTTTATCTTTGACACATCATTGAAAGTATCTCCTGAAGAATAACGAAAATTATTTATATTAATCAAAAGTAGACTATTTTGTAGAGAATTTTTCCTACAACAAACATCCGATAATGATAATAATAATAATAATAATAATAAGTTATTCTGAGT